TGAAGGGTCTACCCCCGAAACGTCAGCCTCTCTGCTCCTATGATGCTGCTTGGCCTGCTGTGTTCATCCAGCCCTGCACCTTGTTGTCTCAGATTCTCCAGCATCTGCAGTTCCTACTATCTCTGATTCACTATTCTGGAGTCTTGTTTGCAGCTGAAAATCTGTCCATTTCCTTTATGATTGCTATAGAAATAGGGGAAATCATTATCATGTGTATTGCTCCTCTTCCATGCAGCACAGCCAATCATGGTGCAAAAGATTTGGCTGTTGCCAATTCCTCTTGGATGCCAGTAATTCCAATTGTATCCAAAGCAGTACATTCATTTCACAGGGGAATGGCCACAAGAGAGACTCCTGTACTGCTGGCCTAGACTTCTTACTCTGCCTGGCTGTCATCCATTCCCTCCCTGCTTGTGGAGTCTTTGCCTGCCAAGTTACCACCTCTTGTACAGCTATACACAATACTTAGCCTTGTGGATGCTCAACAGTGCTCCAAGTCACCACCCCAGCTCCAAAATAAAAAAAGAAGGACAATTCCTGCACACGTTCTGGTCCTGATCACTGGAACTGTGCCCGACTTTCCACAAAACAGGAGCAGCACACCATAGTATTGAGCTCTCCTTCTATGACTTACTCCTTTTACTTAAACACTCAGCTTGCTCTTAAAAGAGGAACAGTAGCAATTACTCTAGGGCCCTTCTCTGGACCACTACACTATTGCCCTTACAAACTATAAACACAAAATAAAGACCACACAACTATAAAGCAACATAAAAAAAAGTACAATACTCACCAACCTTACTCACCTAATCAGCTGTTGCTTACTTTCACCCCATGTCACTTTTTCAATCCTAATTTCATTTCTTCAGTGAAGGTTCACTCTGCTCTGAATGAACTCAATCTGTGCGTCACTCCTCAGACCTTTATGGGAAAGCTCCACCGCTGCAGTTTACCCCCGTGTTTATTGGCTCTGCTTCAGCTGATTAGGGTGGGCTCCAACATAACTGAAGACTGACTTAGTTTTCATAAGCCAAATAGACAAGTAGCTTAAGTTTGAATACAGGCAAGCTCCAAGAAATATCTCAGCAGAAATTACTGAACATAAATCAGGAGTGAGAAAGATGACAACTCTTCCAATTTACGTGCACCAGGGACACGTGGAGCACCGGGGACATGGGGAGGCAAATGGCCTAGTGGTATTATTGCTAGACTATTAATCCAGAGACCCAGATAGTGTTCTGGGGACCCAAGTTCAAATCCCGCCATGGCAGATGGTGGAATTTGAATTCAATAAAAAAAATAATGATGACCTTGAATCCATTGTTGATTCTCAGAAAAATCCATCTGGTTCACTAATGTCCTTTAGGGAAGGAAACTGCCATCCTTACCTGGTCTGGCCTACATGTGAATCCAGACCCACAGCAACGTGGTTGACTCTCAACTGCCTTCTGGGCAATTAGAGATGGGCAATAAATGCTGCCCGGCCAGTGATGCCCTTATCCTGTGAATGACTAGAAAACCCATCACCTGTTACCAACCAACTCAAGATACATTATGATTAGATTTCCTTTCCACAGATGACAACATACAAATTCACAAAGCCAACAGGAAATCCCAAAAACTTTCTTCAGTAATCAGCACAGCTAAAATATTGTTAATACCAAATTTGGATGGCCTAGTAAACACTAGTAACCCGGCACTTTCAGAGGAGAGAATTGGGTTTCAACACCTAAATGCTTGGTTTTTTTCTTCATCATAATTTCTATTACTTACATAAAAAGATCATGAATTGAAATCAAGTTAAAATGTTATAACCTGGCAGAAACCTATTATCTGCCAAGGTGCAGTATTATAATAATTTCCATGTCAATTTTGCAGCAAGAATTGTCCTTTGATGTCAGGTTACATACATAGATGGAAAACTACTCACATTTTCAACAACGTATGAAATTTCACTCTTGGGCAAAATCAGTTCTTCTATTCCCCTTACAGTCACTAGAAAGTTGGCACCTGGTCGATGAAACAAGCTGCCACGAGCAAGTCCAGGCCATAAAAGATCCTTGAAAAGCAAATTGTATAATTTTCAGGCAACTGGTACAACTTGTTCCTGCTTTTCATAAGCCAAACAAACACAATGTCAAAGTCAGCTTTAATTTTGATCAAGGCTAGGTTCCAAACTAGCTATATCACAAGGCCATGAAGGATACCAACCATAACAAAAAACTAATAATACAACAAGCAGAAGAGCAGTACAGGGATAAACACTGTAACCTTAGCTCAATGATTGTGGTTAATAAGACAACTAAAAAGCCACCTCACCCACAAAATAACAAAAAAAAGAGTTCACTGTTCATATGCAGGAGACAAGAGTCAAAACGACTGCGAGTTTGTTTAACACAAAATGGTCAAGCGTGCAAGTCTCCAAAAGGACTTGGGTTGAAAGTAATGTTTTAAACTTCAATAAAGGCATTTTAAAAAGGTGAGAACAACATTGGCTAAAGTGAAGTGGAAATTATTTTGAAAGTGATCCTAGCAGATATACAGTAGCAATCATTCGAGGAATTTTTTGTAGCTCTCAAATGTATGCTATTGAAAAAGAAAAAAGAAAAATGTTATGCGAAAGATACACATTGTGCCCAAGTAAGGAAGTATGGCATCAAATTGAAAAAGACAAAGTTGAAAGAAAGGAGCACAATACTGCAACAACATAGGGTTAGCTAAAGGAGAGGTTTCTAAACTCTTCCTAAAGGAAGGCTTAAAAAAAAAAGGACAAATTAGAAAAAAAAAGAATGAACTAGCAAGAAGATAAAGACATTATCAGCTTCTGGAATTGTACAAAAAAGGAATAAGTAGCTAAAGCAAGTGTTGGTCCCTTACAGCATTAGATGGTAATTGTAATTGATAATGGAAAATAAAAACATTGGAATAGACTTTGAACAAGTGTTTTGTATCTGTTTTACTAGTACCAAGGGAATATAGGCATTCCTCAATAAAAACAGGTAAAATAAAGATGGGCAAAGGGAAGGGGGAAAACCTTAAAACAAACCACTACTACCAGAGGGAAAAAAAGGTGCTTGGAAAATTAATGGGACGAAAGGTAAACAAATCTGCTGAGTCTAATGGTCTGCATTCTCTGGTCTTAAAAGTAGCTGCAGAAACAGTGGACATTGGCTGTAATCTTCCAAAATTCCCTAGATTCAGGAAAGTTCCAGCAGGTTGGCAAACTGCAAATCTAACTCCTCTATTCAAGAAATTATGCAGATAGAAAGCAGGAAACTTACTATAGGCCAAGTAGCCAAACATCTGTCATTGGGAAGATGTTGAATTTCATTGTTAGAAAAGTAATAGCAATACAGTTAGAAAATCAGAATACAATCAAGCAGAGTCAATTGGCTTTATGAAAATTAAGTAGCAATTGACAAATTGAGTTCTTTGGGGATGTATCAAGCATTGGTAGATACAGTGTAAAGTTTCATTGTTCAAAAGGCATTCAAATAAATGTAACTTCACAAGAGCTCATGGTGTTGGGAGTTTTTGCTTTAGAATGGACAGAGTATTTATTAATGGAAACAGTCAGGATAAATAGGTAATTTTCAGGTTGGCAAACTGTACCTACGGCAATTATTGCAAGGAGGATGCATATAAAAGTAGGAAGTCATGCAGTTCAATACTGAGGCCAAACCTAGTGTACTGTATGGTGCACATTTTCGGTTTCCTTACTTGAGGAATATAATTGCACGGGCAGTGAACTTTCACAGAGCTCATTCTTGGAATGAGAGGATTGTTTTGCAAACAAAGTTTGAGCAAGTTGGACATGCAATTATTGGTGTTCATGGGAATGGTGAAGAAATCGTGTTTAAATGTAAATTCTGAAGGGACTTATCAGGGTAGATCCTGGAGAATGATTCTCTCATAAGGGAACTAAAACTAGGAGACAGTGTCAGAATGAGTCTCCCATTTAAAAGATCTCCCTCAGAGTGTTGCGAATTTTGGAGCTCTTCCACACAGATTAGAATACATTGTCCTCCTTCTGATTTTTTTTCCCCCCATGTATTTTTTAACCACTGGCTACACAGAGTACGATGGTCAAAATTTGCTTTTGTAACTAAGCCCGTGTCTAGCTGTGAAACAGAGTGCTGGCTCCCATGCTGTTTCTAGTGTAAGTTCATGATCTGGACATGAATGTAGGAGGCATAGTTAGTAACTTTTCAGATGATGTGAAAATTGGTCATGTGGTAAATAGAGAGGAGGAAAGCCTAAACTGCAGGACGATGTAGATGGGCTGGTCAGATAGGCAGAATAATGGTAAATGAATTTAATTCTGAAAAGTGCAAGGTGATGCACTGTGGGAGGACTAATATGGCAGAGCACACATTAGATGTTAGGACCCTAGGAAGTATAGAAGGTCAGAGAAACCTTGGTGTGCATATCCACAGATCATTGAAAGCAAAGGGACAGGTGGATAAGGTCGTTAAGGCATATGGGATACTTGCCTTTATTAGGCAAGGAATTGAACGCAAGACCAGGAAGTTTATGATGGAGCTAAGAAGATAGTTTGGTCACAGTTGGAGTAGCGTGCACAGTTCTGGTGATCTCACTATAAGCTGGAGAGAAGATTCAACCGGATATTGTCTAGGGTGGAGTGTCACAGCTACGAAGACAGACTAGATAGGCTAGGGTTGCTTCCCTTAGAACAGAGAAGTGGGGTGGGGAGCCAACTGACATATACAAAATTTAGAAGTGCATAGCCTAAGAAGATAGGAAGATACTGTTCCCCTTAAAACAGGGACTAAAATCAAGGGGCATAGACTTAAAGTGCAAGAGGTTTGCAGAGATTTATGGAATTGTTTTACCCATTTGAAGTGTTGGGTATCTGGAACACAATGGGGTGTAGAGACTGGAGCCACCACAACATCTGACAAGCTTTTAGATGTTTGCTTGAAGGGCCACAGCATAGAAGGCAATGGGCCAAGTGCTGGAAAATCAGATTACAGTAGATAGTGTTCATGCTGACCAGCATCAACACTATGGGCCAAAACGCCTCCTTCCATGCTTAATACACTGACTCGCTTTCTTGGTTCTACTCACTGACTCCAACACGTCTCCAAGTCTGGAAATCAGGGTACAAACAAGCAAACCATGACAAGCAGTGTAAAAGATTGATAGTCAAAATTATGTCTTAACTTCAGCTCTATTAGTATCATGGAAGAATTTCAGTACAGCACTTAAGAGTCCAAGTCATAGGGTCTGTTACCGTGTACAGCTCTTTGGTCCAACTCGTCCATGCCAACCAGATATCCTAAATTAATCTTGTCCCATTTGCCAGCATTTGGCCCATTTCCCTCTAAACCCCTTCCTATTCACAGACCCATCCAGATGCTTTTCAAATTTGTAATTGTACCAGCCTCCACTTCTTTTGGCAGCTCATTCTATACATGCACCACCATTTGCGTGAAAAAGTTGCCACATAGGTCCCTTTTAAATCTTGCTCCTCTCACCTTAAATTTATGCCCTCTAGTTTTGGACTCCCCCCACCCCAGGGAAAAGACTGGCTATTCATCCTTTCCATGCACCTCATGATTTTATAAACTAAGGTCAGAAGCCTCAGCCTCTGACACTCCAGGGAAAATATTCCCAGCCTCTTCAGCCTCTCCCTATAGCTCAAACCTTCCAACCCTGGCAACATCCTTGTAGAACTTTTCCAAACCCTTTCAAGTTTCACAACATCATTCCTATAGCAGGAAGACCAGAATTGAACAGAATTGAAAAGTGGCCGAACCAGTGTCCTGTACAGCCGCAACATGACCTAACACCTATACTCAACGCACTGACCAATAAAGACAAAAATACCAAATGCCTTTGTCAAAATTCCGATTACGTGCGACTCCACTTTCAAGGAACTGTAAACCTGCACTCCAAGGTCTCTTTGTTCAGCAACACTCTACAGGACCTTGCCATTAAGCATACAAATCGCTGCCCTGATTCGCCTCTCCAAAATGCAGCACCTCATATTTATCTAAATTAACCTCCATCTGCCACTCCTCAGCCCATTGGCCCATCTAGTCAAGGTCCCATTGTACTCTAAGTTAACCTTCTTCGCTGTCCACTACACCTCCAATTTTGGTGTCATCTGCAAACATATTAACCATACCTCCTGTGTTCACATTCAAATCATTTATATAAATGACAAAAAGCAGTGGACCCAGCACTGATCCTTGTGGCACACCACTGGTCACAGGCCTCCAGTCTGAAAAGCAACCGTCCACCACCTGTCTCCTTCCTTCAAGCCAGTACTGGATCCAAATGGCTAGCTCTCCCTGTATTCCACATGGTCTAACCTTGTTAACCGGTCTACCATGCGGAACCTTGAATGCCTTACTGAAGTCCATATAGATCACAACCACCGCTCTGCTTTCATCAATCCTCTTACTTATTTCTTCAAAAAACTCAAGTTAGTGAGACACGATTTCCCACACAAAGTCATTTGACTGTCCTTGCCTTTCCAAATACATGTAAATCCTGCCCCTCAGGATCCCTTCCAACACCTTGCCCACCAATGTCGTCAGGCTTACTGGTCTTTGATTCCCCGGCTTTTCCTTACCACCTTTCTTACATAGTGGCACCAACTTCCAGTTTCCAGCACCTCACTTGTAGTGATTGATGACACTAATATCTCAGTAAGGAGCCCAGCAATCACTTCCCTAGGTTCCCATGGAGATCTAGGGTACATCTGATCAGGTCCCAGGGATTTATCCACCTTTGTGTTTTAATATGTCCAGAACCACAACCTCTGTAATATGGACATTTTTCAAGATGTTGCTATTTATTTCCAAGTTCCCTAGCTTCCATATCGTTTTCCATTCTAAACACTGATGCAAAATACTCATTTAGTATCTCCCCCATCTCCTGCGGTTCCACACACAGGCAGCCTTGCTGATCTTTAAGGTGCTCTATGCTCTCCCTAGTTACTCTTTTGTGCTAAATGTATTTGTAGAATCCCTTTGGAAGTATAACTAGAATACATAATTGAATGCAAAGTCACGTAAAAGAGGAAAACAGGAAAGGAAAAATTGGGATTGCAAGTTTTAAATTAAAAAGCAAGAAGAAAATAATTTAAAAATCTTTAAATCAGTAAGTAAGTAAGTGCCAAAGAACCAAAACTGCATTTTTGCTTAATGTAATGTTCAGTGCTAGATAGAACATTTGACAATATTAAGAACCAATCAGACATTTAAAAAGTTAAATATCTTTAAAAGATTTTTTCAGCACGTTTATTGTTTATCCAAGTACTGCTATGTCATAGCCTTCCATGTTCTTCAATGCAAGAGAAGAACAAGACAACAAGTTCCTGAGTTCTGCATTTAGCTGTCTGTGCAGTTCTTGGAAATTATGGCTGACTTACTCCTAAATAATGGGGAATGCTGATCGTTTCACCGGTATTGCTAACCCAAATTTTGGGCCAATTGATTTAATTTACATAGGTGAAAATGCAAAGCATATTTCACAGCATGTAACTCAAAGCTCTTATACATGAGGCTCAGATTCAAAGGGCATGCAAATATTAAGCTCGTATCCCAGAAGATAATTAATGAGTTTTCCTGTTATAGAATCATGACAAAATTCAGTCTGCTGTGTACAGGAAAAAAAAAGTGTCAGTTACCTCATCAACTGAAAAGCCCATAGACAAAGACACAACATCTGGAATGCGGCCCCCAGGCAAAGGTCCGGCGTCTTGGAAACGAACAGACTGTGAGGCCCTCAATACACTGAACCGATCACCAAGGATACCTTTAAAAAGGGATTAGATGGTTAGATTTGAGATCCTTCCATCAATGGCTTTCTAGATACAGTTGATAAGTGCATCAGATACAGTTGACTTATCTATGGAGATGGTAACAATGTAGTAATGTCATTTGACTAGAAATACAGATGGAGGCTAATACTTTAGGAACATGGGCTTAAATCCCATCACGGCAGCTGCTGGAATCTGAATTCAGTTAGTAAATCTGGAAAGCTGTTTTCAGCGATAGTGGCCATGCCAATTATCATTAGTTGTTGCAAAAACACATCTGGTTCACTATCCTTTAAAAAGGAGGAAAATCTGTCGGTCATCCTTATCCGAGGAGGCCCACATCTGACTCCAGATCCACAACGTGGCTGTCTCCTAATTGCCTTCTAAATGACCTAGCAAGCCGCTTCGTACAACGGCAATTTGGGACGTACAACAAGTGCTGGCCACGTCAGTGACATTGACAAGAAAGCAAAGGTTCAAATTTTACGCAGAATCACATTAATGTTCTACAATGTTAAGTCTAACTTGTTGACCAAAGCACAAGGGATGCCATGTAGGGAAACTCTAAAGCCATAACTTAAGACACTTGACCACTTGGAACAGTCATGAAATATATAGATATATAGGTGAAACAAAGATCACAAAATGGGCAAATATTTAGCTCATCACGAATCATAAACAACTTCTGGTATAAATGCTATTCTTTTTTCCGTTTGAAATGAAGAGACTGAGACAGAAACAAAAAAAAAATTGAGAATGCCTTGAAAGTTCTCAAATCGGTTTTTGAAATTCAAAAGTTGTAGAAACAGTCTAACAAGTGTAAAATAAATGCATTTTGTAAAGATAATATGGCTACAAGGCGGGCCGTACTAAAATATAAAAACCAAAGGAATTGTGGATGCTGTAAATCAGGAACAAAAACAGAAGTTGCTGGAAAAGCTCAGCAGGTCTGGCAGCTTCTGCGAAGAAGAAAAAGAAAAGTTAACATTTTGGGTCCGGTGACCCTTCCTCAGAACTATGGTAGCTGGGAAAACATCAGTTTATATGCAGAAAACAGGGAGAGGGGTGGGGTAGGGTAGGGAGTAAACGATAGGATAGAGCCTGAAGATAACGAACAGTTGGACCGACAAAAGGAGTTGATAACGATCCGGGTGAGAGGGTGAATAGTTGTTAATGGGGACTGTTAGTGACTTACAATTGGTAGTGTGTAATGACAGGCTGTGTGATAATAAGGCCTGGTGCGTGGAGTAAGGGGCTAGTTCATGGGAGAGTTTAGGCCCTAAAATTATTGAACTCAATATGGAGTCCAGAGGGCTGCAGAGTCCCCAAGCAGAAAATGACGTGTTGCTCTTCCAGCTTGCATTGAGCTTCACTGGAACATTGCAGCAAGCCAGAGACAGATGTTGGCCAGGGAACAGGTTGGTGTGTTAAAGTGGCAGGCAACAGGTAGCTCAGGGTCATTTTTGCAAGCAGAACGTAGATGTTCTGTGAAGCAGTCACCCAGTCACCACGTCGTGAGCCGTGAATGCAGTAGACTAGATTCTGGGAAGTGCAGAAGTGTTGCTTCACCTGGAAGATATGTTTGGGCCCTTGGATACTGGGAAGGGAGGAGGTAAATGGGCAGGTGCAGGGAAGGTGCCATAGGGCTTGGTTGGGGGAGGGGGGGGGGGGGGAAGAGGAGGGGGGGGTGGGGCAAGAGAGGACTGGGGTGTGAGGGAACAGTCCCTGCAGAAGGCAGACAAGGGAGGGACAGGAATACATGCCTGGTGGTGGTAGAAATGGCATCCAATGATCTTCTAGATGTGGATGCTAATGGAATTCATAGGTAAGGACAACTGGAACCCTATCACTGATGTGGGCGGGAAGAGAAGGGGTGAGGGCGGAGGTGCGGGAGATGGATCGGACTCGGTTGACGGCCCTGTCGGCAACAGTGCTGGGAATCCTTGGTTGAGGAAGAAGGGGGACATTTCAGAGGCTCCCGTGTCAAAGTTGACCTCATCTGAACATATAAGGTGACTGAGGAACTGAGAGAATGGGGATGGAGTCTTTACAGGAAGCAGGGTGCGAGGATGTATAGTCCAGGTAGCTGTGGGAGTCAGTGGGTTTACAGTGGATACTAGAGGCCAATCTATCCCCAGAAATGGAAACAGAAGAAATGTCATGGAAGGGAAGGGGAGGAGTCAGAGGTAGACCAGGTGAAAGCGAGGGCAGGGTGGAAACTGGAAGTGAAATTGGTGAATTTCTCCAATTCCAGACGAGACAGAGGGAAGCAGCACCGATGATATCATTGATATAAATCGGAAAAAGAGTTGTGGGTGGGGGCCATAAGAGGCCTGGAACAAGGAACGTTCCACGTAGCCCAGACAGGCATAACTGGGGCCCATATGGGTACCCACGGCCATCCCTCTTACCTGAAGAAAATGAAGGAGTTAAAAAGAAGTTGTTGAGGGTGAGGATGAGCTTGGCCAAATAGGGGAGAATGGTGGTGGGTGGGGATGGTTCAGGTCTGCTCCAGGAAGAAGCAGACAGCCCTAAGACCCTCCTTGTGGGAAATGGACATATAAAGAGTTTGCACATCCATGGTGAAGAGGAGGCAGCTGGAACCTGCAAACTGGAAGTTTTGAAATCGGTGTAAGGCGTCAGAGGAATCATGGGTACTCTTGGGCAGGGACTGGACCAGGGGAAAGTAGGCTGAGTCAAGGTAGGAAGACATGAGTTCTGTGGGGCAGGAGCAGGCTGAAACAATGGGTCCACACGGACTGTTTGTGGATGTTTGGAAGGAGGTAGAAGCAGGCTGTGCGGGGCTGGGAGATTATCAGCTTGGGAGCCAGTTTGGGGTGGAGGGGATTGTGTGTGTGTGACCTGATGAAATGAGATCAATTATCGTAGTGGATACAATGGCATGATAGGTCATGGTGGGGTCATGGTCTAGGGGAAGATAAATGTTAACTCTGCCACTTTAATACACCACCCTGTTCCCTGGCCAACCTCTGTCTCAGGCTTGCTGCAGTGTTCCAGCGAAGGTTAGCGCAAGCTGGAAGAACAGCACCTCATTTTCCACTTGAGGACCCTGCAGCCTCCGAACTCAATATAGAGTTCAATGATTTAGGGCCTAAACTCTCCCATGTCCTAGCCCCTTAACCCACACACCTGGCCTTGTTATCACATAACCTCCTATTACATACCACCTATTGTTAGTCACTAACAGTCCCCATTAACAACTATTCACCCTCCCAGCCGAATCGTTATCAACTCCTTTGTCTGTCCAACTGTTCTCTCTCTTTGGGCCCTCCCTATTTTCTGCACCTAAAGACATTTTCCCAGCTACTATCAGTTCCGAGGAAAGGTCACCGGACGTGAAACATTGATGATTTTTTTCTTCACAGATGCTGCCAGACCTGCTGAGCTTTTCAGCAACTTCTGCTTTGGTACTAAACTATGGTGGGATTACGCAACATAACTCCAACAGCCAGAAAAGTAGGCCAAATGGACTTGTCATAAGTTTCCTTTAATTCATGCAATTAGCACATCTACGCGTCTCCCACCTAGACCATTATTGAACAAATTCCAGTATTGATCAGAAGGTTCCAGTTCCAATTCTTAGTTCAAAAGGAGTTTCGATCTCAATCTGATTAGAAACGAAAGCATGATATCACTCTCGAGCTAGTGAGGACAAAAAGCAAGCCAGATCTTGTTTGTTGTTTTTGAGCTGATGTGTGTATGGATGGCAAGTCAAGTTCAAACCAGTCTTGGCTGTGACAACTTCATAGTTTTCATCTGCTGAAACTCATCTTTTAACCTTGGACATGTAGAAAAACACTTGGTAATGCACCAAAAGGCATATCAAATCACAAAAGATAGTAGGAACTGCAGATGCTGGAGAATCCAAGACAACAAGGTGCAGAGCTGGATGAACACAGCAGGCCAAGCAGCGTCATAGGAGCAGAAAGGCTGACGTTTCAGGCCTAGACCCTTCATCAGAAATGGGGGAGGGGAAGGGGGTTCTGAAATAAATAGGGAGAGAGGCTGAACACAGCAGGCCAAGCAGCAAGGCCCAAGCAGCAAACACCTACGCTCGGTTCGCAATAAACAACTGCACCTCCCAGTTGCGAACCATTTCAACTCCCCCTCCCATTCCTCAGATGGGATGTCCATCCTGGGCCTCCTGCAGTGCCACAACGCTGCCACCCAAAGGTTGCAGGAACAGCAACTCATATTCTGCTTGGGAACCCTGCAGCCCAATGGTATCAATGTGGACTTCACAAGCTTCAAAATCTCCTCTTCCCCCTACCGCATCCCAAAACCAGCTCAGCTCGTCCCTGCCTCCCTAACCTGTTCTTCCTCCCACCTATCCCCTCCTCCCACCTCAAGCTGCACTCCTACCTACTAACCTCATCCCGCCCCCTTGACCTGTCCGTCCTCCCTGGACTGACCTATCCCCTCCCTAACTCCCCACCTACACTCACCTTTACTGGCTCCATCCCCGCCTCTTCGACCTGTCTGTTTCCTCTCCACCTATCTTCTCCTCTATCCATCTTCTATCTGCCTCCCCCTCTCTCCCTATTTATTTCAGAACCCCCTTCCCCTCCCCCATTTCTGAAGAAGGGTCTAGGCCCGAAACGTCAGCCTTTCTGCTCCCATGATGCTGCTTGGCCTGCTGTGTTCATCCAGGTCTGCACCTTGTTGTATCAAATCAAAAAAGATGTCTTAACTTCGGTATGAATTGACAAGTGGTAAGTTGGGAGTTTTAAAGTAAACGTTATCTCAGTGATTACAGTACCAAAGTTTAACATTTAGGTCTTCCAAGTCTCAGTTAGTTACTCAGACACTTGCTTGGTTTTAAAAAAACCTAGTCAATTGAAAAAGTGATGCAAGTTTCAACTGACAGCATTAGGTACAGTAATAATATTTAGGTTTAGGTAGTCATGGAGAGAGACAAGGAAAAACTAGCACATTACAGTAAATGAGTAATTCTATCTCATTGTAGGCTTCCCGA